GAGAGAGAGAGAGAGAGGCTACGTGCTTAAGGATAAAACATACGGTTTGCGAACCGTACCCACGGGCTGCGAGGCGGACGTCGTGTGTGACAGGTTTACCCACGTCCTCGAACAGACACAATGGAAGGTCATCCAGGGCGCCTAATGACGACACGCGCCTGCTAAGAGAGAGAGAGAGAGAGAGAGAGAGAGAGAGAGAGAGAGAGATGGTACTTCCATCGATAGGATGATCAAAATGGTATAACGCAATATCATGGAAATATACAACATAATTTATTTTATTTTTTTCATGTGTGTGTGTGTTTTGTCATAGTCGGTATACACTCAACAAAAAAAAGCATGAACGTACTTGATATGTACAGTGCGACTTTCACCGACTCATGAGGAGGTTGAACCCCAACAATCTGCCCAGAGTGTGTGTGTGTGTGTGTGTGTATGTGTGTGTATGTGAGAGAGAGAGAGAGAGAGGGTACCTCCATAGATAAGATGAGCAAAATGGAATGAATCTAACGCAACAACATGGATATATACGCTGTTTTTTGTTTTATGTGTTTTCACGAGTGTGTGTGTGTGTGAGAGAGAGAGAGAGAGGTACCCACTCCCACTGCTGCGCGGCGGATGTTGTGCCCGGTGATGGACAGTCACAGGTGCAGACACGACGCAAGGTGATAGGAGGGCAACGGAGAATGGCACGCGCGAGTGCTGCGTCGCAGAAGTCCATCTGTAGGAGACGGCATGCCTGTGGCCACGAAGGAGCAAACGACAACTTCGACCTCGGCTGCAACGGGCGGGAGATCAACACATCCACGAACAACAAAACGTCAAACACAAAAGGAAAAAAAATAAAAAACTACAACACATAACGTCAGACTTGTCAGTCATTGTCAGATACGGAAGGGATCATTCAAACCGGTACTGGGGACGGGAGACGTGGCCCGACAACACCTTTCCGATGTAAATACAAAAAAAATTACGAAATACACCAAATGGAACAAGGTACCACTGGGAACCCAAACGAAATCAAAAGAAGGAGGCTCGGCAGACCTTGGCACGCAGGAAAAAAACAAGGTCGGGTCTGAATAACCACTAGGTACTTTGTCTATGTCATCATAATTCTTTGTTGCGAAAATAATTTATTTGCAAAATATAATTTGCAGGCAAACCAAGACTGTCGCTTTTTGCAAAACAAGTTTGTGGTCTGGAGTTATGAATTGTTCAACCAAGATCATATTCAAAAGATGTTCTTTGTGCGGTTTGAGCGCAACAAAAGTTTGTATAAACTTTCCACAATTAATTCTTTCTGATGTCTCAAGAGAGAAAAAAAAGGTTTGTTTTTACCTTAGTTGTATTATATAAAAAACGTTGCAGTACCGAATTAAAGGCATTGCACAGTGTCAATCACATCTACCTTCACCAACTCAATTGTAATCTTATGAAGAGAACTGTGGAAAAGGGTCGCTGAGGACAATAATAACTCCACGAATATTTGATATAGTGAGCAGTTTTCTGACATGCAAATCAAAATTCACAATTTTCTCTTTGTAGTGAACCATTCTTAGCATAAGTGTCTTACTACTATTGACCTTCATGTGGATGACAGTGTCACACAATATTTGCAAAGTGTCATGACGGACGTGAGAAATTTGAGTGTAAATATAATGAGGTCGTCGCCAACGTTGTTTCTCGTTAAATTCATAATGTAAGTATTATTTATCATCACGTACAATAACTTAACATTTCTCTTCATCAACAATGTTTCTTGAATTGACAATTTTATTCACCAAGGCTTTCAAATTCTTAAAAGTGAACTCAACATTCGAAAAAAAAATATCAATGTGTTCTTTATGAACTTTATGTTGAATACTGCGTAGCATTCCATTAGCGTTCAGCCGGCGAACGCGAACGCATATGACCGAACGCGAACGCGTCAACATATGACCAAACGCGAACGCGTCCGAAAATCGACCGAACGTGAACGTTTTTTTTTTTTTTTTTTTTTTTTTTAGG